AGGTAACAACGCACTATTAAGATTCAAGTGTATGTAAACTTTTGAGTGGGGTCATTTTTATTATTTTCTTTTTTTATTTCTCTTATTTCATCTCATTTTGGTAAAATAATTAACATTTTGCAGTACTGCAAAGTGTATGTGAAATTTTGAGGTCAAGTAAACATGACAAAATGTTTAGTTTCTTTACTGGGAAAAAATGTGATCCTTCAGAGAGTGCACCTGAAAAATAAGATGTAAAAAAAAAAATATATTCAGGTAACAACGCACTATTAAGATTCAAGTGTATGTAAACTTTTGAGTGGGGTCATTTTTATTATTTTCTTTTTTTATTTCTCTTATTTCATCTCATTTTGGTAAAATAATTAACATTTTGCAGTACTGCAAAGTGTATGTGAAATTTTGAGGTCAAGTAAATGTGACAAAATGTTTAGTTTCTTTACTGGGAAAAAATGTGATCCTTCAGAGAGTGCACCTGAAAAATAAGATGTAAAAAAAAAAATATGCTCACTTACAATACCACATCAAACCACAATCTAATTTCATCTTTATTCAGGACTCTTACCGAAGTGTCTGACACAGCTCCTAGATTGCTGGCATCAGTGGTTGGGATGACAAAAGAACTCAAGCGAACATCAGTAGCACTGTACTATAGTCCAAGCAAACAAAAAATAAGAAAACCAGACTGCCATGAGTGTCAACTTACAGTACATTACAAACAAGGTTGGGAAAGTTACTTTTGAAATCTATTTCACTACAGACTACACTTTAAAAAGTAATTTGTAACTTTAATGGAATACAGTTATTGATTTTTTTTCATTTTAAATATGTAATTAAAGGGATAGTTCACCCAAAAATGAAAATTATGTCATTAATTACTCACCCTCATGTCGTTCCAAACCCGTAAGACCTTCGTTCAACTTCGGAACACAAATTAAAATATTTTTGATGCATTCCGAGAGCTTTCTGACCCTCCTATAGACAGCAATGTAATTACAATGATCAAGGTCCAGAAACGTAGCAAGGACATCGGTAAAATAATCCATGTGATGTCAGGGGTTCAACTGTATATGCTGAACAGTATACACGGTTTACGTTCACTGACTGGATACTCTCCAAAATGGCACTAGGGTGACGCGGAGGAGACAAATTGTTGAATAAAGTCGTTATTTTAGTTTTCTTTGCATACAAAACGTATTCTCATAGCTTCG